GCCACACATATAAACCATACGGCTCCGATTTCGGTGTCCCCGGCTGGTAGTGGTTAAATTTTTAAACAGGGAATTTGTGAAGATTAGCTTCAAGAGTTGATAAATTTAATCAAATGCAGGGTGAGAAATTGTACTGTCTAATCCTTCATTTAGGATTATTTATCCTCCAAAAATTAGCCCCTTCATGAAAACTCAAAAGCCTAGGAAACGATATTAACAATGCTCATACTGTTACCATTGCGTGCAATATTACAACATTTTATATAGTTCCAGTGTTAAATTCAATTTTTCCTCAGGTCGGTGAAACTGATTTTGCTCTTCTGAGCTCAACATCCTTTATGAAGGGTTAATGTTACCCCTTTGCAAAAACAAAAATGTGGTTTAGTTGGATTTTGTCCCATGTAGATCATTGTGATTCAGCTAATTTGAATAGATTTGGTCAAAATGATTTCCACCAAGATGTCAGCATTATATAGCATAGTTGATTTGGCCAAAATGGAATTTGAAAAGGTGGCAATTTTGGCAAAATTTACCTGTTCATGAAAATGGTGACGATATATACAAACATACCTGCAGTTTACAGCATATTACAGCTTGCATTACTGTGCCAAATTCCCACAACTTTCAGTGGTGTTTTCACATACTGTATTCATACCAATGCTATGCACAACAATCATCCAGTAGCCGTTCCCTTACATGTATGTTCTCAAGTCAGTGATGTAAAGTGGCAGTGCAATGCACTCTTAAGTTATGAATAGATCATGGATGGTTATCGTTCGATGTATACTAAAGTAAAGTCTACACGATTGTGCCTTTTAATCTGTGCAGTGTTAAGTCAACTGACACATACAACTTACTTGTCTTGCATGAGGTAGGACAATTATCAACTGTTACTGATGTTGAAATCTTTGCACTCATGGATTTTGCCAAATCTATGAAGCTAAAGAGTACTGAAGTGTGACGTCATTCAGAACCAATAGATGCTATACAAATGAATGGAGTATGCGCACATGTTGGTTCATGTGCTGGTTCTTGCGGTAATGCATTTTACAGACATACTTGTGCATGTGACATACTTCTGTAGTATTATAAATGGTGTTTCTAGGACAAATTTTCCTCCTATATCTACCCGACTAAAAAAGTGACATCATCAAAAATGAAAAGTGACATCATCAAAAAATAAAAGTGAAATCACCAAAGCAATCCCCACCCCCACCTTCCCTGGATACCTATCCAACCCACCCTCAACCCACCCCACACCAAAATAATGCGGTAAAAACTTACCGCATCATTCTCACACCCAGAACTTACCACATTATTTTCACATTCACAATGTTGGTGCAGACAATACAATAGTTATTACTATATAAATGAATGATATATAATAATAAAGACTGTTAAAAAACAAGTATGTCAACAACTCAAGAAACTTAATGTTGTCAACGATACTGAAGGGAAAACCACTTAGTGAATTTAAACTTAAAGTAAAAACAGGGGAGTATATTGCATTGCTATCTGTGTAGAAAAAACATTTCAAGTGTCTTAATTGTCAACATGGAATTTATAAATGTAAATGTCAAGAGTGCCGACCCATATGTCCACACGGAAAGAAATAACAAAGATGCAACGATTGTCGCGTTCTTTGGAGCGATGAGTCGCGGTTCCAGCTGTATCAATCTGACGGCCGTGTTTATGTCAGAAGGCTGGTGGGGGAGGAGTTTTCGGAGAACTGTGTGGTTCGGTTAGTAAAGCATGGAGGATCTGGCATCATGGTTTGGGGCTGTATGAGCTCTGCGGGCACCAGTGCACTGACACAGGTCACGGAGAATATCAATGCTAGTGTTTACGTCAGTATTCTCCGCGACCACATGCTGCCTTATGCCCACGGTTTGATCGGCCTTGACTTCCTGTTTCAGCATGACAATGCCCCCCCCACACACTGCAAGAATTACACAGGAATTCTTGGCCGATCCAACCCCCGATTTCATCACTGAAATGGGGGGCAGTTGGCAGTTTGAGGTGATGGAGTGGCCAGCCCAGAGTCCTGACCTCAATCCGTTGGAGAATCTTTGGAACGAGCTTGAATTGCGACTCCGTCGTGAGAATTGGAGGCCAGAAAGTAAGGAGGAGCTCTTCCAAATTCTCCAGCGGATTTGGGATGGAATGGACTGCCATTTCATCACCAATCTCTTGGCTTCAATGCCAAGAAGGTGTCAAAGCATTATCGATGCTCGTGGAGGTTTTACACGCTACTAAACTGATCCAGGTCCTTCGTGTTTATTGGCGTGCCATGGGCGCCGCCATCTTGGATTTCACCATGTGCCCCATTGACTTTGTACTCACAGAAAACAGTTAAGTTCGTTTTTTATCATTTTAATAACATTTAAACATTAATATGCAATACCAAGGACAATTTTATTGAAGCATACACACCAATAAACATTTCTATAATGCTTTTGTTTAATGTTTTAAATATTACATGAGAGTAACAACGAAATATAATGTTCACGTACACATGCGCTATATCTTTTTGCGGGGCAGTGTACATCATGCATTTACCATGGTGAACATCACTCTGTCAGAATGACCCTGTGGGGTCAAATGACCCCGAGAAGAAAGTTATTTTCTTTTTAAGAAGGGTGAGAGCTTATTTAATTCACATTTTGATCCGACTTGTGTACGGTTCGCTGACACACATCGCATGACCTGAAGAACCTTGTGACCTCAGATTGTAACCCAGGCCAAAAGAAACTAGATAGAATCTTGTCAGTAGTTTTCCTTATCCCTTGATGACCACCAAGGACAGACTCATGAGCTAAAGTCATAACATGCCTGCGGTAACTCTGCGGCACCACCAACTGCTGAATAGGATCACCGCACTGCACTTTCAGGGAATGGAATTGCATATACAACAAACCAGAGGATATGTAAAACTTAGAAGAGTTTCTCTTAGCAGTTAGTCAAAATACAAATGCTTTTGAAAGCGTTCAACGCTTTGTAAACGGTAAGCCCCACGGACGGTCAACATCGAACAGACGAACGCTTCAGTGAGTCTGGCCAAACCGTTGCGGTCGAGTACACCTTGCACTCTGCAGCTTCCAGTAAACAATGGACAGCTCGTCGCATTACAGCATCAGACTTCTGCGGTCTGGTGGATTAGTCATAACAATAGCTCTTTACTTTGCAGCTCCACAGGAGGATTTAGATCGGCAGACTGTTTTAACTTCCTGATAAAACATGTGTATTGAGTAGTTGTGTTGCGCCAGACCAGTCTTTTCAGGTCTCAATACCCTGTAATCTTGATATTTTGTCTTGGTATCGTGAGTTAAATACACACCTAACTGTATACCTGCAGAATCGAATATACTAACTCGAAATAGTATTTACCTGAATCATACACGACGTAGTGTTCTGTTCGCCAACATGTAGTTACAGATAAAACCTCTTTTTTTGCCCGTGTGCACAAACTGGTACTCAGCATTGCGCACTCGCAGGTTTTCATGTGTAGGATCGAGGAAGACACGTACGCGAACTACACACTTTCTACTTCAAAGCTGCACTGGTGTTTGACTTTACCTATTAAACTTAAATGCACAGTAAATTAAAACAAACACAGTTTAATCTAGTGCTGCCGGCGAACCACCGAACCGAGGCAAAAATCATCAAACAAGGCACTTTTGAACCGAATCAAACTGATCGGTTCGGATGTATGGTTTTAATTAGGCATTTTATTGATCGCACGCGGGAAAACATACAAAAATTCAAGAAAACTAAATAAAAAATAAACACAAAGAAAAATGGATAACGAGTTGTACAGCATGCTCCACATGTGCTTGAACATACTTAAACTTACAATGGCCCGCATCATGAGATGGTTGTAAAAAGCATGTGGTGAGAATCACTCAGAAATCAACCAAGAACACGCAACGTATGGCATTGTCGCTGCATAACACTTCTAAATTCTCACTACATCCAATCGTGCTCATGTATATTCAGATTTATTATTTTATTTGCCAATATCCAATAGCCACGCCCTTACGTTCCATATTAAGGTAATGACATTCCATATTAGGCCAATGGGCTCATAAATGGAGTGCAAAACGTATTTTGGTTGGATGCTGATCACAGTCAGACTTGCGCTCGATCCAAGGCATCCCCGGGTGAAAATTTTGCCAAGCGGTTCGGTGCATGCTGTGCTTCAGCGCAGCACGAGGAGATTTTTGTTCGCACGGTGGCCTAACTTGCCTTTCATTTGACCATGAAGGGTTTGGGAGGGATAGCAGATTCATAATTTTATACGCAGAAAAACTTTATAGGCCTTTGCAGCACGATCGTAGCGAGCCTTTCGATGTCTCAGTGTGTATTGTACTTGTACATGTGTGTACATGTCTGAACCCAACCGATCCGAAGTTCGGCAAAAATGTCCAAGCCCTGTCTGAATCGAACCAAACCTTGACACATACTTGCAGCACTATTTGATGCGGAGTTTGACTTTTTTTTTATTACCTTCAAAGAATATGGTACATGTGACAGAAGTTCCAAATAAATTCATATTGTTTCTATGTGAATATTTTCTTTCATAGACGATAGATAAGCCGGTAAATTGAGGCAACCGTGTTTGGCATTCCCCAGCACTCCCATATAAACGCATTTATTTTCCAGTCTAAAAAACGCTTGAACAGGAACAATTATCTTGGAGCGATGCCTTTTTGTCATGAAATACCCACTCAAAATGTATCTGAGGCTAGATAAATGTCTGTAGCCTGGAATGCAGTTGATTTTGGGTCTTCCTATCACAAGGTGTTAACCGCTAATCCTCACGGCCAGCCCAGGAAGGCTGACCGGGGCCAGTGAAGTTCTCCCTGAATAGGATCTTTTGTTCACAACTATGGCTGTGCAGCCGCAAACTCCATTGTTGTTGGGGTTGCTCGTGAAGCTAGACAGTCCAGGACAGATGGTTCTTTTCAAACCGTTGAACTGTCCAACACCAAAAGACGAACGGAATGAAGGGGGATTAACACCAACCATTCAACTGTTTCTAAACCGTCTGTATTTTGACCTCACGCCTTACCAACTCCTCACCAGATGATGCCAACTCGTAAAACCGTTGAAGATTAGAGTCAGCTTTCTGAGCTGCAATAAAATCATCTCTACTAATTTCAGGCAGAGGACATTTTGGCACCTTTAGCGGATGAAAGTGTCTCTCTTTAGCTGCTTTTTGAGCCCTGGTCTGCACAGCTTGAACTTGTTCAGTGATCTTCGACTGTTGCTTGTCTCTGGCTATCTTCGTCCTTGCCTTTAATCTTCTCAGTTTGATGAGTATCCTGCAACCGACTAGAAAAATCCTGTACACCAGTTATGCTACCAACAATGAGGTCGTAAATTGGGTTACGCATACACAGGGCCTCAGTATTACCTGTAAAGAACGGTGTGTCAACATATTTCCTAGCAACTGGAAATTTACAGACAGTGCCGTCAATAAGAATACACATTCTTGTCTCACCGGTCCTTCATTTGTCATTTACCAGATCTCATCTCACCACTACGCCAGGGCAGCCACTATCTCAAAGAACCTGGACTCTTCAGTTTCCTAGTTGTCTTTCACTTAATGGCATCTCACCTGCAGTGGGTCATGTACATGCAGCACTCATCAGCATCAGCTCATGTCCACATCTGAGAGTCACATGGTTGTCCTCTACGCAGCAGTCTCCTAAACCCTGTTTTGTGACTGTACATGCAGCTGTTTTCACCAGCCCTTGCTCCTGTGGCTTGAGGTGTTGTTGGGGTGTAACTTGACTACACAGATCGCAGGTGCAGCAAGTACACTGCTGACGCTGAGAACCATCCTTGGCTGTTTCTTGTGTGTCTGATGAATGCTTCGGGTCTGATGCTTGGTTCTTTTTTTTCCACCCAATTTCATCCCAGCTGACTTAGTGTGTTTGAGCTGTGCCTGTTTCCGTTTGAAACAGTCACGTGCAACATGACCTGGTTTTTCACAAAAGAAACAGATAGGACGGGATTAAAGCTATCAACTCCTTTACCCTGTGATGTCGGCCTTTTGACACTTTCTGGACGCTTGAAAGACGGACAAGAAAAGGGATGTTTCTTTGAATCAGACTTTGTTGACCTGAAGGTTGTGCCATGGGCCTCTTGAAACTGCTCAGCCAATCAGGCCACTTCGTCGACATCTTTGGGCTGTCTCTCTTTGATAAACAAAGCAAGATCTTTGTCACTAGCATTAATGAACTGTTCCCTTAAAAGGAGATCTTTCACCGCATTGTACGTTTTCTCGATTTTGGCCAAGTCGACCCACCATGAAAAGAGATTATCTAATCTCACAACAAACTATGGAGCGGTTTCACCAGCCTCCGGTCTTGCTGAATGAAATTTCTGCCGAAAACCCTCTTGAGTAAGTCTATGCCGCTTGAGAAGCGCTGTCTTAAGGACCTCGTTGCCTGCATCCTCTGTGGAAATGTGGGTGTATATGTCCATGGCGTTGCCTTTCAGAAGTGCACTCAGATTGATCGGCCAGTCCTTCTCCTCCCATCCTTGTAACTTGGCATAACGCTCATATTGCTGTAGGTAGGAACCTATGTCATCCCTGTCATCTTCAAAAAAAGGAAGTTTGGGCGTACAAGCCTTTATTGCATTAGTGACAAGTGGTTTAGCTTCTTTACTTTCACTTTGAGATTGAGATTCTTCATCTCACATTGATGAGCCCTCTCCTCTCTTGCTAGTCGCTCTCTGTCTTCCCTCTCTGCTGTCTCATGTGCCCATTGTTCTTTCTTCTTCCGCTCCTCTTCCTTCGTTTGTTCCTTCTTGAATTCGCTTCAACAATTCCTGACCAGACAGACCAAGCGACTTCCCTATATCTGTGATCTGTTTAATATCTGACATTCTAAATGAATCCGACCATCTTTTGGAAACAAAACATAAATCCTCTACCAAGACAGCCTGAACACAATGATCTTCTCACGCTGTCACGACGCCAGACCTAAAACTTAGGAAAAGCACAGAGCATGAAGCAATGGCACATGGAAAGAGTAGCATGGCTAATGCTGCTGCAAGAACAAGCAGGCTCGAGAAAAAAAAAATCAGGTGCTGCGAGAGGTGACGGAATTAAAGCAGATTCGTATCCCAGTCTAGCTAAAACTTTCAATCCTTTCTCATTTCTCAAGTATCATGCGAATAATAAACTCTCAATTAATTTAACCCTTCTTTCCCGGACCAGCCCCCAAAAATGTCAGAATGACCCCTTGGAGTCAAACAACCCTGAGAAGAAAGTCATTTTCTGTTCAAGAAGAGCGAGAGTTTATTTAATTCACATTTTGGTCTGACTTGTACTCAGTATTTTAATACAAAACGAAGTCAGTTCAATGTCAATGGTTAAATCAGATCAGTGCGCACTGCTTTATACAATATTTACATGTACATACAATATGTCAATCACAACAGCTTGCAACCAATTTTGCATTCACTAAAAAAAAATCCTAACACCATTCTCAATCAAATCATAAGTAACGGCACTGGTTAAAGTTAGAAGTACAATTTAGAGAGTAGTCTTACATTCGTCAAATTATAAATTTCAAATCGTTTGGGCCACTTATAAGTAGGCTACGAGAACCCGAAATACTATTCTCAATATTCCTATTCCCAATACTATTGCCAGCCTGGTATAAATAACAAGTTATTTACTTATTTTGTGAGTGCAACCTATGCCTCACACTGTTGAATGTCTCTTACGTGCAGTCAAGTTGCCTTTGAGGATCGTTCACGTAGTAACGGCCAATGTCACCGTCAAACATAAACATGTACAAGTCTTCTGAGACTGGTAAAATAGGAACTTTGTGACACACGCATTCTTGTGATGCAGTGCATGTGTTTGTGGCATATCACATGATCAATTCTCAACCAACGAATAATCACAATCTGTCACTGAGGTGTAACAATATTACATATGTACACTGTACATGAGTTTCAGCCAGTGGCCGCAGAACAATGTAGGGGGCCAGTTGTGAGACCATCAGGCATCAGCAATTAAGTGGCTGATCCATTAAGCTTTACCCCATTATAGGACCTGGAAAAAGTGGGAGAGAGAGAGGGCACCCCCCTTGTCAAAAATGTGGGAGGGCCACTTCCCTCCTCATTGACCTTCCCCCCTTCTGCCACCAGTGCTTTCAGCATGGAAAATCCAATATAGTATACTCATGTTCAATATTAATATAATATTTTCAGCTAAAGGTGATGAGGATGGAGATGAAGATTTTCGTGCGCCACTTTATAAAACAGCCGAGATACAGGGAATTCAGGTACGAATGAAGTGGTGTGCAACCTGCCGTTTCTATCGTCCTCCAAGAAGTTCTCATTGCAGCGTATGTAATCATTGTATTGAGGTAGGTACTGCCTTCATGGATGTCACCGCTAACTGCCAGTGCCTTTTTTCTAGTGACGACCTCAGTTTAACAAACTGAAAAGCTTCAGACAGAAAGAACTGAAGACAGAAAGAAGGAAATTATTCAGTTATTAATTATATTCACAAAATTAAGCAGTTTGTTATATTTCCAAAATTAGGAGTCTGGAATCTAACTCCTCAATTTCTTCAAAGGTTCCCAGCTATTTTGGTACTTTCCTCGGGAATTTCAATTTTACAAGCTTGATTCAAAGTCACAATTTTCTGTAGGAATATCTATCACACTACCGGTCCACAGTACAACACTCTCAAATATTCAGCTTTGCTGGAGTCTGGGCATGTGTGTACATGTAATGTAAAAAATCACAGGTTTCACACAGTTGTTATCAGATGCTCGACCATGGCTGGACCACCAAAATTATATTTTGCCTCACACATGGTTCCTTTATATCAGACTTGTTCATATGTTTGCCTTTTATAATGCTTTTTAATCCCTGAAACAATTGTGAGATTCAGCTCTTGGTTTTGATAACTGTGATAAGATGTGTTTCTGTTAGTTGAGAGAGTTTGCTAAATTAATGGAAATTAAGGAAGTAGCAGAAAAGACCAAATATCAGTATCTTTTGGGGGGATCTCTGGGTTAGAAAAAATAGCCTGTTAAAAATGATATTGCCAATATTGTGATATTCAGTATTTAAAAAAAAAAGGTTTCTTTGCTTTGTTTTGGGACAATACCACATGAGGATGAAGTTGTAACATCATCTACTATATGTACAGTACATATAGTTAAAAACCACACTTTTGACCATCATTTATCGTTAACGTTAACTCCCTTTTCGAAGTGGGGTATTTAGCGATTGAAACGTTAAGTGGGATACCTAACCACAATCCTGTACACCACACAGATAGCAACCTTGCCACATTGTGTTAAGCCTTCCAATTATTGACTTCTAATGTGCAAAATCCAATAATTATTATGTTTAAACTCACGTTTCTTTTACAGCATACATGTAAGTCTCAAAACCTCAGGAAAGTTAGGATAGTGGCCAGATTTATCCAGAAAATGGTTGCCAGGGTTTTGAAATATTCCATTTTTAGATGGATCTCCTGCTGACTGTCTGAGGTTTTTAAAACCTTACAAAAGCACAAAAAATAATGCGTAAGGGGAAACTAATTTTCAAAATCACATCCCAAATGATTGTCCATTGCCAAAGATTGAAAAATGCAAATGAAGTACAAGAAAAGTACAACTTAAAATGTAAGATTATGTCATGTAATTTAAAATAAACTATCTTTTCTAATCGTAACTGTCATCCTAGATTGCATTCCAAAATCTCTACAACATTTGAAGAAAATATTGGGAAAACAAATATGTACATTTTATGAAAACATATGGAAACTCCTGGTAGATCAAGCCAATCTGCTACTTTAGAAGAGAAAACAGGCTGAAAATCAGGTGGTTATGCTTCTCCTGTGTCATGCTTGCAATTACAATCTATACTGTGTCAATTATCCCACACTGTCACGTTCTATTGGCACAGGGACCAGGCAAACCATGGAGGAAACTTAGCATGACTATCACACAGCTATTCCTTTTCTCCACTCAAGCTCACCGTTTGATCTCACCATGGCTCATTTAAAAAGGACAACAAACATGTGTGCACGAGCTTTTGTTGAATACGTTTAGCTTTAAACAAAATAGACTTGCCTAAGTCATGTTAATGGTATAAAATAATTTTAATTCAAAATGAAAAAAAAATGCAGTAAAAAAACCTGTAATTTTCGGAATATAAGCCATGGCTTATACAGGGTGTCCCAGAAAAAAAACAAACCCTGAGAAAAGGGCTTAATATGCCCAAACCATGAGATATGATTATAATGTATAAGGATCTCTGAAAAGTAGAAGCAGTATTCTTTCTAGTCAAACCTTGATGGTATTCATCCTGTCATGCATGATTGAACACCGTTGTCTTGAAAATGGGGCACCTCAACTAAGTTGTAACACTTTGGATAAACCAGTGAATGAGGTTGTCCTCTGTCATGATTGTCCTGGATAAGATATCAGGGGCACAACGATTATTTACACATTACGTAATTCACAGTTAACTATGCACCGACACCTTCCACGTGTCCAAGCCCATTCCTCCTGCAACTGGTTCCCCTTGGCTGTTCGACAAGTTGCTGTCGAACTGCAGCAACGTTTTCAGGAGTTTGCACTATGCGCCTCTTCCCAGGGTCATTCAAATTAAGGCTTGTCCCATGTTCTCGGTATTTATGCACATTTTTCCAGATAGTCGACTTTGCCGGTGGATCCCTATCAGGGAAGGCTTCCCTAAATGCTGCTTGGGTGGCTTGAAAGGTCTTGTTTTCAATAAATTTTGTCACAACAAACACTCTTTGCTCTTTGGTAAGTTGCACCATGTTGCAGACTTGCTCTCCTGCTTTGAACACTATTCAACTCTGCACTGGCCCACCTCGGGGCAAGTCAACACATTTAAACCATTAATTTTGGATTTGCCCTGCCCGACGTGTATTTAACACTGTATACTCAGTGTGCCCCGAAGGCTTGTGAAAAAAAAACAAAACACAAGCGTACTCTGATGGGACTTGAATCTCTGGAATAACATTTAAACCAGATTATTGCATAACTTGAAAGTGACAAATCTTCCCTAAATTTTCTGATTACCAAGCGTAGCGAGCGCAGTGAGTGGAGCTCTCACTACCCACAGCTGGGTTTTTAGGAGAATCCCCGAAGGGATTTCCCCCTATGTTTTTGTTAAGGCATGTTTACAATGATGATTTTGCAATCAGCGGCTGATTTGATACGAAGAATATGAGAAATATATTTCTTATGTCTTTCCTTACTTGTTTAAAATTGGTAAATAGTGCAAAATTGTGACTTTGCATGCTTCAAAATATGATCAAATAGGTACATTTTCAGCATTATTTCAGTTCATTGTTTTGAAAATCCATGCCAGGCAGCACAACCAATTTGAACCCAAGAACCTGGCGCAAATTTACAGTACCTACCGGTGCTACCCACCGTGGCTAGAACACTGCTGCAGGCATAGACTGTCGGTACTACAAGGTTCATTCCTGTTACACTCATGACCACCTTACCACATTACTAACACGCCTAAGCCACCTGAATCAGGACATCCACTAGGATCTGGCTAGGACCACTGTTTCCGCCAACAACCCGGATGAGGATTAAGGCCTAGCCGTTCCAACCAGGGCAACCACTTGCATCTGGATAGGACCCCTGTCTCATTCAGCTCTACACAGAGTTGATAGGGAAGCTCCAAGGACGATTGCATATGACCGCTTGGGCAGGGGCACCCACTGGGATCCAGCCAGGACCCCAGTCTCCCGGGTCTATCGGCAGTCTACCGAGCCAGCTGGGAATCCATAGAATGTGCTTAACCTGACGTCTCCTGTGCTTGTCCTGCCCATCATCTGCCAAGGCCCAGAAGAACCTGGGGTTGATGGTGCCAGTACTCCCCCATCAACTCCAGCAGTCATCAGCCGCCCTTCTGCATCAGTGAGAAAAACCACTTCACTTGCAAGACTGATGGAGCGTACTTCCACCCACCCCGATGCCAAAGACACCAGAGCAGGCTCCCCACGCTCTGTTTGGTTGTTACAAAACCTCACCCACGAGTGGTCTTCACAGCCATTTAGCTTGTGACTCCGTATCGTTGTTCGCTTTACTCTGAAGCGGGTAAGGAGCTTATCGTTTATCATTTCCCACTTCATGAACCATTTCTATTTTGACTTACCGCCTTAGCTCATGCTGGCCAACACCAGCAATGCTTCTCAAGCGATCCACCCTTCCGGCCTCATCCGCCACATCAACCACCGGATTGCCCATTCCAAAGAAACATAAGGCGCTCCTCTCCTTCGTTGAATGCTTCGAAGTCTAAGAAGAGGCGCCACTGCGAACATCAAGCTACTTCTTCCACAGCATGGATTTCAGCCTCCCAGTCCATCAGTGAAGCCCTGACTTTTATAGCTTGACGCCTCAACAATAAGTCTCCTCTGGCCTCGACTGCCCCGGACTCGCTCCTCGCAAGTCAGCCCTCCTCCTTCCATGGCAGCAAGCGACCCAGTCAAACAACACTGACTAAGGAAAGCCACCCTCCAAATCGTTCTTTCTAGACAAGGACAAGGCATCCCTGGAATCTTCACTCACAAGACGCGACAGAGCTTCTCTCTTTGTGCTACATTGCACTTCCTTTTGCTCCTGTAGGAGTATGTATGTGAGGAGCATTCTCTGGCAATCCCAGACTTCACAGCCTCAGTCTTCTGTGGCCTTGACAAGGGACTTAACTGTGCATTCGAACATTTCACTCGAATCTCCTGCTTTGCAACTCCTACCAGGAAATCTAATGCCTTAGATGCTATGCACATTCCTTGTGACGGTGTGAGGAACTCCAGCTCTACAGAAAGGATCTCTTTGCTGGTAAGTTTCTGGACATACTGGATGCTGAGGCTAAACGGATCAACACTACCAAGAAACTATCTTTCCATGAAACACCGCCTCTGGCTATTCAGCAACCTCAGCTCCGCAACACCTGCCAACCCAAGCCCTCTCGCCTCATCAGAGTTAACAAGCTTGTCATTCCTTTTGCCCCCCTCTACAGCAGCTGAGCCAGCATCAAGCCTCATATCGCACCACTTCCAGATTGAGTCAAGCCTGCCAGGGAGGACGGTATTCATTGCACGCACCCCACTCATTCAGGGGATGTCAATGATAACTACATTGCTTCACCACCTATGACTGCCGATCCTGAGCCTGTTGGTGGCCGTCTGCAATAACTTGCAGGGTTATGGCAGGAGATCACCTAAGACAAATGGGTACTCACAACTCTTACAAATACTCCCTCAAGTTCACAAGCACCCTTCCCCCCAAGGCGATACTGTGGTTGACTCCAGTCCCACGCAACAAAAACGCTTGGCACTGGAGTCAGACATAAATTCCGT